AGTAGCCAAATCATGAAGCCAAAACATGCCTATTGGTTCAGTGCTTTCTTCTAAGGTGAACTGTTTAAAGGTCCCAACGAAGGAAAATGCCCTACCAAGTATTAAAAAGTAGAGAAGTACATTAAAGTTTTGGTCACTCTGTGTGTGACGAACATGTGTCGCGTAATTACTCCAGTAAAGCTAAGAAACAACAAAAACTACAAGAGAGTTTCCAAGTGAGCATTCAGAAATGATATGAGAACTAGAATGTTTAACCAAAAATATCTGTTGAAAAAAAAAATAGAGCGACAGAAATCAAAACCCAATTCACTTAAAAACTTTAGACAAAACCAAACATTCCTATATTGATGAAAAATCACAAATTAGTTACTTGGAAGGCAATGCTTAGGGATAACAGAGTCATCCTCCTTGTATGCGACGCGCTTTTTATTCTTGGTGATAGCAGCGGTATATGGCATCCGTTCGTGCGGTGCTTTCTCCTCCGAAGTCGTGGATCTCACTGAACTGTCCAAGTCTCCACACAAGCCACTATTTTCACTAGACTTGTTTGCCTGCGAAGAAAAAAAATTTTTCATCGCTGCATTCTCAAAAATCTTTGACTGCTTTTGTTGCTCTTCGAATGATTCATTAATCATTGCAACCTGCAAGGAAGCTAATAATTAAATAGCTGAAGCTGAAACATTAAAAACATCTGATGGTAAAAGAAAATCCATTAAAGTAATTTCCAGAAGCCTAGCACTAAAGTGTAAAAACCGTGAACTGGTGAGACATGCTTTGGTGCCCTTAACTTACGTAACAAAATGTCAAATAGAGACAATGAAGTGATTGAGAGTTTCATTTGGAAAAGTGAGGAAAGAATTAAAATATGCAGCACATCCAAACAAGTCGAAGAACCGCATAAAAACAAAAAAAAAACCCCACTATCTCTGACTCTTAAACCTGAAAATTCAAGAATCCTCAATTGCTTATTAAAAATAATCCGTCTGTAAATAAATCTTCGTCTCCGTGCTCAATTAACGGTACGAAAGAGCATCACGACTGCAAAAACTGAGCATCTCAAGACGCTTTGCTGTAATAAAAAGAAATCATCACACTAAAGCTTTGTAACCGCTTGAAATTCTCAGGTTCTTACTAAACCTAGGCAAATGCTAAGCCTAAAGGTTCTAGGAATATTTTACAATCAAATCCGTTACGTTCAACAAAGCACCACATCCGGTACTCGAGCACTTCGTGCCTAACGGACAATGCAGCGAGTGTGAATTGTTGAACTATGAAGTGCCAAAAAACCCTCCTATTGCAAAAGAAAACCGCTTATTACAAAACAAAAATTCTCTGCACCAATAGCAGTTTTAAACGTCTAAAACTAATGCTCGCACTCGATTACGACAGACAGATGCACTATTCAACTGAGAAGGCCGCTGCAACAGAAACAGAAGCACAGAATAAAACAAAGAGAAAGAGAGAGTAGTGAAAAAAATAAATAAAAAAAAAAAAAAATAAAACAAAACAAACGGTACGCACAACGCAACAATCTGCCCTCTAGTACGGCCACACAATTTATTTACATATTCACTATAAATACATCTCAAAAAGTTTTTTAGTTGTTGGGAACAGGAGACGATTTTGCTCTTCAAAAAGAAAAGATTAAAAAAGAATAAAAAATGAAAGAAAATACGGCACCCAAGAGACCGTATGATGAATGTGACAAATGTTTAAAATTCTGTCTATAATCTGGCGAAAATTATTTTCATGTTAAGTACAAAGCGCTCTCCTTAGAAAAGTGTGGTATTTTACAATGCAATACCACTCTTCTCTTATCGTCTGCAAAAAAACGTCGCTTGTAAAAAACAGACCGATAAAATTCGCCACATGTACATTCAACACCAACCCCTATTACAAAATCTGTGCACCTCATCATGGAGAAAAAATTTACCCTGAATGCGATTACCAGTACTGTGACTCTGTCGAGACTTAATGCCTTAAGAACCACACAATCTCCTCTGACCTGAACCTTTCAACGAAAATGCCGTACATTTGAGAACTGTTATTAAAAAAAGTGAAGACCAGATATAACACACGAAAAATGGTGAAGAAAGAAATAAAACTTTTCAGAATTGAAGATTCAGAAATAAAAAATGGCTCAAAATGCAAGTAAACATACAAAAAATAACCAAAGGATGTAAAAGGCAGCCCGGGAAAGTAACTCTACTAAAACCAAGAAAACCCTAGCAAAAACACCTTTACGACTGAAATGAAACGTACTTCAAGGTCCTCCGCATCTGGTTGACAATTAATACAATCTAGTATTGGATGGTTCGTTTTCGACACTGTTGGATTTGACCCAGCAGAAAGTCGTCCACAGTCTGTTACAGGACTTTGACTCGACAACACAGGACTTGAAAAATTCCTTTCAATCTTTCTGCGAAAATCCTAAACATAATATCAAACTTTTATCAGCTTCCTGGGCAGCCAAATGCGACGATGAACATGAAATTATACAAACCACAAATCATCTAAAATCCCTACATTAGATTTAAAATCTTCGTACGACTTGGCTCCACCTCTCAGAACACTAATGCCATAATCACTGTCTTTGTACTCTTCACCGATAGTAGCCAGTGTATTGGCATTATCCGTTGTGATATCCTTTCCACAACCATAAAAACCTGAAATTGCCAAGACATCAAAACAGCTCCAAAAATGATCTAGAACGTCTGAAAAAATTGTAGTAACCAGGAAACAATTTAAAGCATATGCACTATTTTAAGAAATACGCAGTTAACCATACTAAAGTGTATGAAAAATAATGAATAATCTCATCTGTTTCTACAAACCTGAATCAGAATAGAACTTAGCAGTATTGTTATTTTCAAAATTGGTGCAATCTAAAGCATGTAATGGGTCGTTCAGAAACGAAGAATTGTCGATACTTGTTAGTGGAGGAAGATTGAAACCAGATTTAATCAACTCAGAAAAACACTGTTCAGTTAACATGCCTGCAAATTTAACAAGTGAAACTACCAAGAAAAGAACGTGCAGACAAAACTTCACTTGAAAAATCAATGCATAAATTCCACATCTATAAAAAGTTCAATGAAACCCTTCAGCAGGAATTAAGAATGTCAATAAGTCTTCACGACCAATAGAAAAAAATTTAAGCAAACTCGACAGAATTTACTGAACGTTTTTTGAAATAACACTAAAGGTTTCAAATGATTCTACCACATTCCAAAATAGCTGTTTGACAAAACTTCGTTTAGGCTACGAATAGTTAACAGGAATGAATAGAGAATAAGCAAGCGATAACCCCGAGTTGTGCTCAGAGAAATAAAAAAGCAAAAGACGAGTAACATTCTTCTTACAGAAAACAAAAAAAAACAAGATGACTAAAAAGCGGAATCAAGATTTGCTTTTCTCATCCTAAACTACATGAACAAACTCAACATCTAAAACTTGACTGAAAATTATTTTCCACAAGCTTGAAATAGCGATAAAAAAACAGGTATTATAATGAAAAGTATATAGAGACGACTGGTACAGTGAGGTATGAAATATAGCTTCTAAGTACCCCACATTCATATAATAATAACAAACCTTGCTGATTGAACGAAGACTGGAAGTGATCAACATCGTCAAAAGCTCGTACTTTCTGGTCAAACACTACTGTATTGTTGCCTACAGGTGTGAACAAGCCTTCTGCGAAAAAATTTTCACCATCTTTTTGTACAGAGTCGCTTTTTCGAGCGTTCAGTTGCAACCTTTTTGTCAAAGGACCATAGAGAACCCCGTCCGGCCTCAAATTAGACCTAAGATTTAGTACTTTTAGAAATGCAATAGAAATAACTTTATTTTTCTAACTTTTGATAACATTTGACAGCTACTCCTCCAATTTACACAACCGTGTAATGTGTACTTGGGTGTGCGTGAAGTTCCAATCCAAAATTCAGTAAACTCAGAAGAGAAACCGAATGAGATTTCAAAACTTTGAAAAAACCACATGAAACTCCACCAAAGTCATTTTTTCCAGCACTACCACAGAACTACAAAGCTTGGCAGACACTACTTAATGAGACCTATTAACTATTCATGGAAAAGCGACCTGTGCACTAGCACCAAAAAAAATTTTTAAAAAACCCCAACAATAACTTTTAGGAAAAAACTCACTTCTTCTGACAAGGAGCATAAGGATCCAAATCTTCAGGCATCGAAAACATCTGATAATGATTCATTTGAATGAGACGGATCAAAACGGTTAATTCTCAAACTGTTTAGTTTACAACTGCAATACGCATATTAGAGCCACGAAAATCACAAGGAAAAAAATGAGGCTCAGCTGGAACAAAACTCAAAAGTTGAAAAGAGAGAAATTAGTAAAACCTACCAAAAATAATCTACCTATTTCGCACGCTTCACTCCAGACTGAAGCGAACAATCCTCGAACAATAATTAAACTTGAATTCCGTCCTAAACAATTGAGTCCTGAAAATGATAAACCTTTCACAGTCGCAAACTAATTGCAAATAAACCTTTAAAAAACTCGGCAGACTACTAAAGTACTATTACGGTATATCAGGACACTCCAATTTCTAATTTTATATTTCCTACAAATACGCCTAAAAGAAAGACGTTATATAAAAAAAATCCCACACCTAACGTGAACAATTAAAAACCTCCTACTAAACTTTGAGAGCTCATAATATTCACTACCACCCAGAAGCAAACGAAAATTCGAAAAACCAAAATGAGCTGCCAATACGTACATCAGTATATATATACTCACTTGAGTACCTTTAGAAAATGTACCTCTAACTAACCAACTTTCACAGATAATTAATTAACTGCTAAAGCGACCAAAAGGAAATCAGAGGGCGGATTGCTTAAAACGCAACTAACCGAGGACACTGTCGCCTTCAAAAGAGGGAAGAAACAGTGGCTTGCGCGTTACCGAATACAAAGTTGTGATCAAAATGGCATCAAATGCCGACAACGACCAAAACTCTGATCAATAGCGACGAAAGGTAACTCTTGCTTCTGAAGCAAAAGCACCCTGACGCAAGCAGAACTTCACCTAAAAATTTCAACCAGTAACTTGCCATCGAAATGTAAGTGAGCGAGTACCCTTCTTCGCATTTAACACATACAGAAACTTTCTTCACACAAAAAATACAAACGAACAATCCGTGCTACGAAGACATTGAACATATTGAAACGTTCAATAACCTACGTAATTTTTTCAAAAAGGGAAAGAACTAAATAAATAAATAATAACAGTGATGACAATAGCAAAACCAATGATAATAACAATGACAAAGTACAACAAAGAAAAAATAATAAAACAAAACCAAGCAAAAAATGAGTGTTGAAGAAACCGTAAATAATTTCAGACGGTCAAATACAATAAAAAAGTGAAAAACGGATCAGCAGAAAATGTAACATCAGCAGACAAGCCAAAAAATTAAGTCTAGGAGAACAAATAACGGCAAACTCGGATCTGTGAAGAGACATCGAACCATGAAAGTTTTAATTGAAAAAACCACTCTTCAAAAATTCAAAAACGTTCAATACAAATTGTCTTAATTATTGGTATAAACTTTATAACTTACAACTTTTGATGATTTTCGAAACGGTAAAAAAAAATACAAAATCCTCCAGTCCAAATGCCTTTTAATGTTTCTTTTTTGACACCACAGAAAAGTGAAACATTTGTTTAAAGTCCCAAAAGAAGTCATTTCTCTATCAGGCGCCGCAAATGCATAGCCACCCATATTCAGACCACCAAATATTAAATTGGTTATGAAATTACCACCAGCAAAAACACAAAAAAAATTACTTTTTTTTGAAACAAGCAAAATAGTATACATTCTACAGGCCTAACCATTTAGCATCGAAAGGAAATTGACAAAAAGAAGAGAAACTACAAGTTCTTGCAGAAGAGTTAGGAAAAATGAAGCAACTTCCCTAATTTCATCAATAAACAACCTGCAACAGATTGTCATAATAGGAAGACGCGTTGAAACTATAGTGGTGATCGGAATTCCTATCAGAATGACCTGATCAAATTTTCTGCCCACCAAAACATTTTATTGTTTTCAACACATATTTTAAACTTTGAATGCCGGTTAAGAAAAAATTTTATTTTAATACTCCCGACAAAAAAGAAATTGTGAAAAATACAATTTGTTCAAACCCAAAATACTAAAGAAAGTTCATGACAACTTTTCTTCCAGTAATTAAGCCAAGTTCCGATTTAAAACCGAAAAAGGACTCAGGAAACATAGAGCCCTGGCGAAACATAAAACAGACATGCAACCGATTAATTCTTAATAAGTAATTTCCTCGCCCTCTCCCTTCCTACTTTTCCTCCTCCTTTCCTCAACTTCCCACTTTAAAATTTTCTCTAAAAAATGCTTCCTGCCAGTGACTCAAATCCACCAAATACTTTAACACCTACCAATCTGCAATTCCTGACTTTTGTCTCAACTACTCATTGATGTAGGCGTTTTCAGACAAAATGTGCATACACGGCGTTCTACTATAAATCCGTACACCGTCATAAATAATATTTAGCTAAGGAAAACAGCAACAGTAATGAGACCCTACTTTGAAACAGTGCTGCAAGTCTCATTTGAAATAAGTTCACCTCACGCAAATTTCTGACACTACTCTTGAAATAAAATACAACACATACGCTGTTCTTCACAAAACTTCGGCCAACCTGAAACCAAAAAAATCTTGTAATAATCACTTGTAAGATAAAATTCTGATGAAAATGATAGACTTCTCAAATTCTGCAATTTCCAGAGTTTTTCAAAGTTTGCAAAACTATCATAACATTGACTTACAAATAAAAATTTAAAATTCTGTTTGAAGTGCACCTAACATATCTGAATGAAAATGACACCCCTTTTTATCACTTGTTTCTTCCTGTCTCGTCACAAAAAATTCTTTTCTTTGGAAAACAACTTGAAAACGAACGAGAGCTTTTGAATTTCAGCGTACACGTAAAGGTTTCAGAAATTAAAAAAGCGAATCAAAAAAAAAAAAAAAAAAAAAAAAAAAAA